TTCATCGACTTCTAAATGTTGAAATGTAAAGCTGATCTCGACGATTATTTTTCCTACTGTTTTGGTTATGGTGGCACAGTTGAGTTTGACGAGACAGGCGCACGTCTCACGACAAAGAGATGCTTAGGGTGTCCCGACGGATCGCAACTCTCATCCACCAAACCCTTCACGTGTCAGACCTGCATTCCACCTCAGGTATTGAGAAATTATGCCGACCTGAAGCTTTCCGTTTCACCCCCCTCCCCCCCAACTCCCCGCCCCCCCCAAAAAAACAAAAAGAAAAGAAAAAAAGAAGGAACTGGCAGGAAGTAACTCTTCCTACAACTTTCTGATGTCATAATTGTGTCTCTCTTTTTTTTTTTGCCTTTCGAAATGCCCATTTGGATTTCGATTTCTTAAGAAATGACAAAGTGTTGACAGGATCAATTTTTATTTATTCATTTTTTTAATAACATATGTGGAACAGGCAGAAAAGCCGCTATACATTTCACTTTGCTTTTCAGCCTTGAATAACTGTGTTTCCTAATTGGTTTCTGTTTTTATTTCTGTGCAGATTTTTGACATTTCTCTTAAAAAATGTGTTTGCCCTGGGAACAAGGTGAGTCCCTTTTCTTTTTTTTTTCTCTCTTTTTGTGGCCCCCAATTCCGTACGTCCTTCGTCTTCCCTGATGTACTTTGGCAAAAGGCATAGGCAAAGACAGATATGCATGATGCATGAACCTCGGTGCAACTCGACACCTTCCGTTTCCACCTCTCTCTCTCTCTCTCTCTCTCTCTCTCTCTCTCTCTCTCTCTCTCTCTCTCTCTCTCTCTCTCTGTGTGCATGTTCACTTGTGCCCTTCTTGGTCTTTCAAATTCTGCGCTTGTACAAAATGTAATAACTACTAATCACCTAGGCTATCAGCCGGGCCGCCCGGGTCACCCTATTTTCCCGGGCGGCCCGGCCGTGCAGGACCAGGGAAGGTCCCAGCCAAAAAAAAAAAAAAATCCAAGATAAAAACTATGTTATGCAGAAAAATACAATGAACTGTTGCCCCAGAGTCACATAAAAATTCTTTACCAAATTATATATATCGTCACAAACAGTATATACTGTTTGTGATATATATATACAGGGTTGCCGGCGTTCAGGACGGGCCGAACACCCGAACCCGAACGACCGAACGTTTGGGAACCCCTCTCGACGCGTTCAGACGTTCGGCCGAACGCGGAACCCAAAAAAAAAAAAAACAGTTTCCAAAAATTCTGAAAAACAACTATGTTATGCAGAAGAATAAACTAAACAACATTTGCCTCAACAGTACATCCAAAT